ACCATATCCACCATTACCGAAGGAGACACCATCACCAAGCCAAACTGCCCACGCCGATGCGGAAATCTGACAGTTCCATACCCATTCGGCATAGGAAGCGACTGTGCCATCGGCGAGTGGTATGAAGTCAACTGCAGCACCGCCTTCAATCCTCCCAGGGCGTTCATTGCGGAGACTAATATCGAAATTTACGACATTTCTGATAATCAAATTCGTATTGCAAATCTAGTGGCGAATAAGTGCTATAATGAATTCGGCGACTTCGTGGACGAACGCGCTGTGTTGGCAGATATTACAGGGACACCGTTCAGTTTCTCGGAATCCAACAAATTCACCGTGATTGGGTGTGATGACTACGCTTTCATGTTCGGCGAGAATTTCACTAGTGGGTGTATTTCTCTGTGTAACAGCACCGAAACTGTACTGGACGGATATTGTTCCGGCATTGGTTGCTGCCAAACATCGGTGCCAAAGAATTTTAAGTACTACAGGACCCGAGTGAAGAGTTTTAATAATCACACGGGCATCGCATCATTCAATCCCTGCGGCTATGCATTTCTCGGCGAGCAGGAGAGTTTCACCTTCCGTGGCGTGGAAGATTTTTTGGATACCAATTTCACGAAGAGGATCCGGAAAACTGTCCCCATTGTTCTAGATTGGGCAATCAGTAATAGAACTTGTCACGAAGCTCAATTTTCCTCGGACTATGCTTGTAGAAATAATAGTTTCTGTGTTGATACAAACAATGGTCTTGAAGGTTATCGTTGCAGCTGTAACGAAGGCTTCCGAGGAAATCCTTATCTCCATCCCGGCTGCGAAGGTTTGTTTTTAATTACCGCAGACACACGTTGAATTACTATACTAAAAGTGAAGATCTCTTGAACAAAAAATTTGTATCAACTGTCAAGGAAATGACTTTTATCTTGTGATTGACATTTCATTTGTACTCACTTTTCCCATTATTTGGTGGCAGACATTGATGAGTGCGCAGATCCAAACAGCAACAACTGTGAAAAGATTTGTATTAATACACCTGGAGGTTTTAACTGTTCTTGTCCACACGGCTACTATGGAGATGGCTTTAAGGATGGACGTGGTTGCATTGCTAATAACTCCAAATTTCCTGTAATCAAGTATTCCTTAGGTAATTCTTATGATTTCTTGAAATTGTTTAGCACACCAAAACAGAATACAGATTCATTAATATCAACAATTATTCTTTTATTTAATTTATAATTTCAATCTTAACTTTCTTACAAATTCAATGTGCAGGTATTGGATTTGGGTTCTTGACATTAGTTATTGCAATAACTTGTCTATATATTAGCATCAACAGAAGGAAACTCATAAAAATGAGGGAGAAATTCTTTGAGCAAAATGGTGGTTTGTTGCTCGAACAACACCTCTCTTCAATTGAAAGTAACATGGAATCAAGGACGAAAATATTTACAGCAGAGGAGCTTGAAAAAGCTACGAACAACTATGCAGATGATCAAATTCTAGGAGGTGGTGGTTATGGTATTGTCTACAAAGGAATTCTTCCCGATAAACGCGTAGTTGCCATCAAAAAGTCCCGAGTTATGGATCAGAGCCAGATTGAGCAATTCATCAATGAAATGGTTATTCTTACACAAGTTAACCATCGGAATGTGGTGAAGTTATTGGGATGTTGTTTGGAATCAGAAGTTCCTTTGTTAGTTTATGAGTACGTTTCGAATGGAACTCTTTTCCAGCACATTAGTAATTGTGCAATGACTTGGTTATCGTTGGAGAATCGTTTGAGAATAGCCTCAGAAGCTGCTGGTGCACTTTCGTATCTTCATTCAGCAGCCTCTAAGCCTGTAATTCACAGAGATGTCAAGTCTGCCAACATATTATTAGACGAAAATTACACTGCAAAAATTTCAGATTTTGGAGCTTCAAGATTAATCTCCTTGGATCAAACTGAAGTGACAACGTTAGTCCAAGGGACAATCGGATATCTTGATCCTGAGTACTTCCACACGAGTCAACTGACAGAAAAAAGCGACGTTTACAGCTTCGGGGTAGTTCTTGCAGAACTTTTGACAGGGAAAAAACCCCTTGATATGCAAAGACGCCAAGAAGAAAAAAATCTTGCTACATATTTCATCATGTCCATGAAAGAAAATCGTTTGTTTTCTATTCTTGAGCCTCGGGTATTGAGGGAAGGAACTTTAGAACAAATCCAATCCATTGCTGAACTTGTCAAGAGATGTTTGTACTTGGATGGTGAAGATAGACCTACAATGAAAGAAGTGGCAATGGAACTTGAAAGTTTAAGGAAATTCAATAAACATCCATGGGCTAATCAGTCTCTGCATGACGAAAATGTTGGGTTAATGAACAATCAAAGCAAAGCATCAGATCTTTATACTGCTCCAAGCACCTCAAATGACTTGTATTCTATTCAAATGGGGCCTTATACAAGCACCGGGGATTTCTCTGGACAATACGGCTCCGACAGTGCTCGTTTGATGTTTCCTGTAAACAGCCCTCGGTGATAGTTCATAGACAAATCATTTTTAGTATACATTCAACGATGGCTTAGACGAGAGTCAAATTATGTAGTTCTCTTCTATTAATACTCTACAATCCATCTTACGAGTCATGCTATCACTTCTTTGTTTGTTTATGTTTCTTATTCATCTTCAATTTGGATTTCATCTTACGATGTTTTTTGTCTAATCATTAATGTCTAACGTGTGTTAGATTTAGTTAGATCCGTTCAAAACTGAAAGATGTGGAGAAATAGATTCGTAATTCTACTTTTTTACTATCCAAAAAGGTGAGAAAGAAGTACAAACTAATATTTGTGATTAGAATTTTTGTTCATGCCTACATTTTATTTAACCAACTATATTTAGCTTACTTATGAGTAAGCTAAATATATTCAGTAATTGAACTTAGAAAATAATACTTAACGTATATATTTTAAAATCTATATATACACGTGAAAACTCAGTCACGTACAAATCTATGTAACATGCACGAGTGGAAAAAATTGTAACATTTTGGATGATAAAATCATGTTTTTAGTATGAGGATGTAAATAAATACTAGTTACACTAACCGGTTAACATTCATATTGTAAATGTGTTTCAAAATCGAATTATTCGTTATTTAATACTATCTTACAAAATGATTTTTAATTAAAAGTACTTTAATTAATTAATTTATTAATATTAGAGACTACAAAGTTTATAAACTTAAAAAACTATATTCATCTTAAAAATGAACATATTTTTGTACGGGAAAAATAGTTTTTTTTTTTTAAATGTAGACGTTGGTTATAAGACTTTTAGTTATGCACTAATAGAATCTTCAACTTGTAAAATTCAATTGCATAAAATTGTAATTTAATAATCATGAGTTTCGTATTGTATTTAAAAAAGAAAAAAAAGCAAGTTTGCATCATTGTGTAATGTTAAAGATAAATCGAACTTCGATAAGTAGAAAATTTCGACCATCAAGTACAATTTTAAATTCTCATAAACTCAATTGTATAGAATTTATTTTAATAACATAAGGCTTTCGCAATAAAAATACACGTTTTCTTATTTGTTACATAAATAAACTAGGCTTCGGCGGTAGAAAATTTTGACTTGCAATTTAAAATTATGGTCAAAGTTAAATGAGCACGTGTCTCCTTTTTTTACCCATAAAGGAAAGGAAAAGTTAGTTTTTAATTCATTCACGATCACGACCTTTCCACTTTGCGCTTTGATTAATTTATGGGTAAATTCAAATTTAGTCCCCCAACCTCTTGCTAAAGTATCAATCTGGTCCATGGAATTTTCTTGCTTGGTTTGGATTTCAACCTTAGGAATTTGCATGTTTAGGACCTTTTAACATATTCCATACAGCACACAGGTGAAGTCAGCTGACCTGCACACGCCTTCTAATGAAGGGCAAAATTGTCCACTCGCTAAAATTTAGTAAAAATAAATTAAATAAAAAAAATCAATTCCGTCTAGGAGTGAACAAAAGTAATTAAGACCATTGGACCGAAACAAAATCTGACAGACATCTGTTGATTCAGTCCAATTATAATATTATTCTAGTCGATTCTAGGTATTAAAATTGAGAACATGTAAATTCGGGCCAATTCAATTCTAATAGCAAGAAAAAACTTGATTTAACTCGAAATTTTTATTTTTATTTCCAACGAGCCATTGTAATTTTTCTTATAGATTTCACCATAGTACATCAAACTCATGTATGATCCATTGAATTTATAAACTTGGACAATATGATCCATTGAATTTTATAAATGTAATTTTTTATGAATAAAATGTTTTATTTCCTTTCATCCTTTCAAGTTAACATTTTCAACCTTTCAAAATATATAACAATAAAAGTGATATTGAAACATGTTTTTAAATAACTCATTCGATCCAGTAGTTAAGAATTTGATGTGAATTATCAAGTTTAATTAATCTTGAAAAATACAACTCATTAGCATCATTGCAAAAGATTTTAATCAATGTTGTGAAAATTAGATCGGGCTGGTAGGTTCAATCGAAAAAATTGGGAATCGAATCAAAATTCTATCCGATCACAATGATAAAACCGATTAAGAAAAAATTGGTGCAAAATTCAGTAATGAGCCGTTTTAACCGAAGATCGCGAATCTGTTATGATTTTTGAGGGTTTGTTGGGTCATTTTTGCAAAAAAAATAAAAATAATAGTAAGATGATAAACATAGTCTCTACCTTATTTCGATCGATCAAAACTCACGATAGCTCCAATAAATCAAAAATCTAATTACAATGAAAGAATATAAGTTCACTTATATTTATGATCATACTTTGGAAGACGTATTTATGTGTGTATAATTATATTTTGTATATGTAAGAGAGACCAGAGATTTGGGAAGAAATGCGTCGACTAAAATTTTAACAGCCACCGAAGTTTTGATACGAAACAATGAGGAAGGTGTTCAAATAATAGGGTTTGTACGGATCAAAAAAAAAAAAAAGGTGGTAATTACACAAAACCATAGTTTATGTATTCACATTTTCAAAATTAGGATGGAAGTTTCACATTTCCAAAATCAGATATTTTTTATTTTAATTAATGTTTTTATTAAATATTAATAATAATATTATAAAAATTAATATATATACACCCACACCCACCCCCACCCCTAAATTTATTTTCAAACCCTAAAATCACGTCACTTTCTCTCATCCGTCTCTCTCACCCCCGTTTCTCTCAAACCCAATTTGAAACCACTGCCGTTGTCGCCGCGCCGGCTGCAGCATCCCAATCACCGGAAGTCGATTTGCAGCAACCCATTTTTTCGACGGCGATTTGCAGTTTGCACTCGATGGGTTGCTGCGATTTGAGATTAGCCCTCGACAGTTGCTGTTGCGATTTGCAATCGACGAGGTCGCCATTGTTTGCGATGGCGATTTGCAGTCATCTCCTCTCCCTGGTGATCTCCTCTCCAGTCCATCCTACCACCGTCATCTCCTCTCTTCTCCCAGGTCTGGCGCCGCACCCATCCCTCATCCGATTCCTAAATCCACCCTTATTCAACGACGGGAAACGGTAGCAGCACAGCTGCTCGCACCGGTGCAGCGTCGCCTCTGTGTTTTTTTTATTTGATATACGGTGGGTGATTTTTTGGTTGGTGATTTCTGATTAGATCTACTATTAGTGGCTTGTTAGTTGTTGTGGTGGTAGTAGTATGTGAAGTGTTGGTGGTGGTGTGCAGTTTGCGGTGGCGGAGGGGTGCTGATGTTCGTTATTTTTAAATACTGTTAGTTGCGGCCAATAAAATTTGTGACTATAACTGGCGATGGTCGACAATGGAGGTAGTGGTGGTTGTCTTGGCGGTGGTGCGGTGGGGTATAGATGATGCAGCGATAGCGTCATGACGCTCGACGACTGAAGCAAGGTAGTTCTGTTGTGGGTTGGTGTGGTAGGTAGCGGCGGATGTTATGTTGGATATGATGGTGGTGTTGGCGGTGCCGTGCATTTGACAACGGTGTAGTGGTGGCGGTGGCGGCGATCGTAGCCATGTGCTGTGACCTGTTTTGACCTATGCTGTGACCTGTTTTGTGACCTATGCTGTGGCTATCAACAAAAACTTGAACCATGTGTAAAAACATTTTGTGACCTGTGCTGTGGCCATTTGAAATAAACTTGCGACTATCAATAAGAATCTGGGCCATGTGCAAAAATATTTTATGATCTGTACTGTGACCATTTGAAAATAACATGAGACTATGAACAAAATCGTGAGCCGTGTGCAATATATTCCGTGACTTGTGCTGTGACCATTTGAAAATAATCCGTGACTATTAATGAAAATGTGAGACATGAGCCTTATCTTGTTATCAATCATTATAAACAAACAACCATGCGTTGTGACTTGTGACTTGGGCTGTAACTTATGACTTGTGACCTGAGCTGTAACTTATGACTTGTGACTTGAGCTGTGACTTGTGACATGGGCTATGACTTGTGATTTGTGACCTGGTTTGTGACCGTAAAAAAAAAAATATATCAAACGTACAAAAAATATAGCGGAGTTGTAGTCGGAATATTTGCCGGAGTTGGAACAATTGCCGGAATCGGAGCAATCGCCGGAATAGTTGTCGGAACGGTTGCTGGAATCGGAGTGTAGTCTCCGGAACGGTCGTCGGAAGTTCGCCGGAGTAGGGCGGTGATCGGAACGGTCGCCGGAGCGGTAGGGGTGGTGAAGGTGGGATGGATTAATTATATTATATTAGAATTAAATATTTAATAATAAATTAATTTA